AAAAAAAAAAAAAAAAAAATCCGAAATTTCCACAATTCGAGCGTTTTCAAGTTGAATGAATTGGAAATACGAAACGATGGAACAATTGTTATTAATAATTAATAAAATGAGAAACAATCGTATAAAAAAGAAATGGATGATAAATCTGACAAGTTTTGTAATGTAAATTTCGAACGAGTAAAAATCCAAAAGATACGTTTATTTTATTAGTAAGAACATTTGTGGCACGCTTCATACATTAACAGCGTAAGAAACAAACGTAAAAAAAAAAAGGAAAATTATTGCAACGCTAGAAAAATATGAAAAGAAAGAAAGAAAGAAAAGAAACACTTCAATCTCATTCAAAACAAGTTTTGCTCGAGTAAGAAACTAAAAGACTTTAATACTCGATCGTAGATTTTTACACGCACTTGCGGCAGACGTAGATGCATAAAATATACAAAATATAGTATGTTTTATTTAGTGGACGAAATCAATTTCAACTCCGGCAATCGTGCGTGGAGAATAAAACCGTCCGCAAGTCATAATTCCTAAAGCATCGTAAACGAAATCGTAACGAATCTCTTTGCTTCTCTCCAGCAACAAGCAATACGCGAATTCTACGTGATCCACCAGTTTTAACGACCGCAGCTTCGCGTCGCAGAAATTTTAATTGGACAACGCTGGACGTCCGAAAACGATAGCCATTAGCAGGATAATGGATTGTTCGAGGAACAGTCAGACCACGTTATTGAATTTGTGAATTAGCGATTTATGTTAAACAGGCCGGACTGGTTGACCAGAGCGGTTAATCATCAAGTTTAATGAGGTGTAATGTAATAATCAGGTGCTGGTTGCTAGTAGAACAAGTCGGATACGAACGAAGAACAAGTGCAGGGGAGATATCGTCCATGATATCGTCTTTATAAGAAATACAGTTCGTCGAATATTTGTCCTTCGTTGTTTCGTGCAAATGATAGTAAAATCGAACCAAATATTGTACTCGATTGTGCAACAAATTCGTTCGTCGCTCGACGAATTTTAAAAATTTGTGACGTTTGTTGACATTTCAAAAATATTATTTTGAAAGTGTTATCTTAAAAATGTGTATTATACAAAATTGTTGTTAATAATATAATTCATTCACGATGAAATAGAAAGACACATAAATGCTGTTTATAGTTGTATTACATAATGAAAAGAGATAGAAAGAAAACGTGCATTAAATATTCAAAGCACGACACAAAACTGAAAATGTAATTGATAATATAATATCATATGTAATTTTAAAATATTAAAAGATTAAAATATTATTTTAAGTTTTAATTTTTTGATAGGCGAAAACTTTAAAGTTACTTGTTCATTTGCAAAGAACAATCAACCAAATAATACACGTTAACATATTACACTGAGGCATAGTAAATGGATCTAATACATCGATCGAGCAATTACCTTCTTACATCAAGCTTGATCAATACAATTAAATAAATTAGTTAAATTCCATTGATCGATCGGTGCTCGTTCATCGAGTTCGTTCGTGGAAAGTGAAACTGGAAAATGGCTTATCCGACAGGCAACAAATGCAAGACCTTTCAAACTTCTACACGATGATTTAGCTACGTTCTAATTATATATCATAAATAATTTAGGCTTCTCTGCATCTTCTGTTTTGTTTCATTTATTTATTTTTATAATACTGATACCGATCTTTGTAATGCAACAACATGTAAGATGTGATAATAGAATAATATTGATATAAAATATAGCAACGTTCACAACGTTGAATGTTGTTTAAAAGATCAAGCAATTCAAGAATATTGTTCTTTACATTTATCATTCTACTGTATTCTTTAAATCATGTTGATAAAATCATGTTCATAAAATTACTAAACGGTAGCAGACAATAATAATAATAAAAAAAAAGAAAGTTTGACTTCACTTTCAAATGCAGACTCAAGCATGTCGAAAGTGAAATTAAATTAAACCTTGCAATTGAAGTGTTAAAAAGTATGCACTTGATGCTTGAAATCTGTAACTGTACAATATTTAATTGGAATCAGCTTGAGATTTCTTGAATCAACTGAGACTTTCGTTGTCCGACTTTTTACGACGGATAATGGAAATCGTGGTTCAATTTAAAATTCAACTGGAACCCGTACACGAACGTAATACGCAACTTGACCTTTTCGACGTGAGCCCGTAAACCTACGGTTTCAACTAGCAACGATTGGATAAGACATAGGAAATCAGTTCTACACGAGTTCAACGTTTCAGGCTTCGTGTCATTCGTCGACAGAACATTCCAACTTAATCGATCAGTTCGTTTCGAGGCAAGAAAGTAGAGAATTAAAAAGAAATTGAGATTAAAAAAGAAAAGAAAAAGAAAGAAATAGGAAATTTAGAACTTCAAAGATTCAGAGATGAATTTCAAGCTTGTTGAGTACTGTACCATTGATATTTCTCAATAGTTCTCTAATGAGACGAAAAAATTTCAAATACCTCGCAAAGCTGTTCAAACAAAAGGTAGTCCGTGTCTCATTTAATATTTCCCTCTGCACCGTGTGTTCACACAAAACGCATAGCTGGGAGCAATCATTCGATGCTCCCAACAAATATCATGCACTAGTGACCTTTTCACGATCGCGCGTACCTTCCACCAGAACCATAACTCGATGCGCTTTCCACGCTCCAAGTTAATTGACGTACCAACAACGGCCGCCATTTTTTATGATGTCCGACAATCGAAGAACTCGCCGTACAAACCTCCAACTTTGACATTTAACTGTGGAGTAATTTTCAGTTTTCGGGAAACACTTGAAATTAAATTGCTAAAGCTAGAAATGACATAGACTTAGCTCGAGTCTACGCAATTTAATTTTATTTAAACTGTTTAAATACGGTTCTTGATTTTTAATAAACATCAATGTCGCATTGCATTATGCAATTTTACATTTCGACGAACCGTTGAAGAAATCGACGTTCCGCTCGTTGAATGTTATAATTAAATATATAATTTGGTTATTTTTATGTATTGATCTAATTACATGTTATATGCATTCTGTAAATCTCAAAATTCCCCCCCCCCCCAAAAAAAAACGGACAAATAAATTTGAATATCCAAGTGAATAATAATATTATGTAAATAAGATAATACTCAAATTTTTCCAAATTGTACGATAATCTCGTGTCACATGACATTACTGTATCTTAATTAAATTCCTTCATTTAACGTCTCTTATATGCAAATCCTTCTAATTTTCAGGATCGTGTCGTATCGAAACGGTATCTCGAAATCCTCGAGTGTTACACTAACGTTCTCACAATTCTCACTCTTAATTGCCCCCTGGAAAATCGTGTTCACAACGTGCGTATTACAGGAGATTTGCTCGTACGCCGGTTTGAACCAACTCATCGCCACTTTGACCTAATGAACCTCTTCCTCTTCTCACCCGTTAGCATCCCGTTTAAACGGAAGTAACGCACCACCTAACTGTACCTTACCGATTCAACTTGTATCGGTGAGATCGCGCGCCTGAACAGAACCGCAAATTAACTCGTAATTAGAAGATACGCGCCGTAATCGCGACGGATAAACGGAGCTCTGACGAATTTTTCCTGCCGGATTTGCAATCTGATCGTTGAAGAATCTAGAGCAATTGACTTTGAATCGGATTTTCAGGAAAAAATTCGAAACTAACGAGAGATTTTGGGAAGAAATTTTTTAAATTAGTGTGGGATTTTATTAACTATTAATACGCGAGAGGAGTTGCACTAACCCTAAGGCTGCGTTCATTCGGTCATTTTTCTCAGAAATTGCAAAGATATCTCGAGTTTAAACGAAATGTGAAAAAACTCTGATTCTTTAGTGTGCGTGATTCTTCGATTAGATTTTCTGTTAAACGTCTTTCTAAAATATTATACATTTTCTTTCGTTCGCTAAATTGAATGTGAAGATCAAAATATATGTACGTAACTGCGATTCGACGAAGAAAAGCAAGTTGTATCTGTAATGAAATTTAGTTTGTGACAACTTTAGTTTCAATGATCAAAAGATCTCTCATTAGTAGCTTTCAAGTTACTGGAATTTAAAATTTGCGATAGAAATGTAGCATAAAAGTGAGGGATTATATGAGAA